GTCTTTTTTTTGTAATTTCTTACCCTCATCTGCGGCATCTTCAAATGTTCTGTGCATCTCTTTGCGCCTGAGATAATCGGCTTTCACTGGATTCACTCGATGGTTTTCTTCTTCCTCTTCATATTCTCTTCCCCATCGAAGACCTTGAGAGGCAGCGGGTTGAAAACAGACAGAGACAAAAATGCACGAAACAAGAAACAAGGTTACGAGGCTCTTGGTTTCCATCTTTTAAGTTGGCTGAAATAGAAAAGATGAACAGGAAAGGGAAAAGTCTACCAAAATCTTAAGAGTACGAGAAATATTTCACCAATAATTTGCCCTTTTAAGCAAATGGTGCTTTTACAAATCCAAAATATAAGACACTTTCGATTGAGACATTTCATAGTAAATGGATGTATAAACTATTTTAGAGGCTCTCTTCGATATCAGTCCTCTGTTTATTTTCAGTGAAAGATTTCTTGAATACAGGGTTAATGATTAAATATTCGTATGTGGACTATACGATTCTTGAAAAAGAAAAATTGTAAGCAAGCGTTTGAAATTCTAGCGAGATGACACCTTGGTTCCTGCCGTTGAAACACTCAAAGCTAAACATGAACATGCCTTGAATTGATTGTAAAACGGTTAAGAGAAGAAGTGAAAAAATACAGGAAAAAAAACACTTGCTTAGGCGGTCAGCCTCTAACAAACCGACGCTATTCAAATCATCATAAAAAGGAAAATTTCTTACCGGGAAATATGTCTGATAAATTGTGTTCTTGTTAAATCCCGTTGATCTGAATGCAACTCCGCAATCCTATTGAGCTGCTTATATGGCCAGTGCTACTAGTAATGTGGTTCGTCTAAGCACATTAGACAGTTTAAAAGGGTGAAAATTGCCCCCAAATGGTACTACGTAATTTGCTTTGATAACATCCGTAGTGCGAACAATGATTATGCAGAATTTTTGACAGCGAAAAAGGCTTCGGAATTCACCTTGCCTGTCAAGTAAATATCGTGTCAGAGGTAGTGTTACTGATAAGACAACATGTCCTAAGCTTGTGTTGACAATAGGCCAATTTAAAAGCCTAAATTCGTAAAAGGAAAATAAATTTACCTCTAGATGCGTTGCGGTTTGAGTTATTTAATTGCATTCGTTTTATGTTGAGATTAAATCTTGAATTTATTAAAGGCGTCAAAACTATCATGCGATCAGTTTCACACCGAAAAAAGGACGAATAATTTTTTCTTTTCTTTTGCCGAGGAAGTATTATTTTACAACGCCTGCATAAAGTGAAAATTTGGTTATACAAAGATAATTGCTAAATTGAATCTCTGCAAACATTCCTTGTTCTGTATTGTTCAAAGCTAATTTGACTCTATATTGCCTTTGTCGTGTCACGGGAAATAAACTATTGACACCCTTTTGCGAGACTTTTTCTGTCATCGACAATTCAATGATTCTTAACTTTTTCCTAAACGTTTATCACAAATCCATATTACAAAAAATTATTATCTACAAGATTCCATCTTTGTTACGTGTCGTCAGGAAACGTTTAAATTTCGATAAATATGGCAGCTGTTTCATTTTATCGTGCGTTTATTTTTAATTTTAGTTTACCGTCTTTCCTCTCAAAAGCATCAAACTGACGAAAAATATTTATTAGAAGGCTCTGTTGGTGTTCATATATTCAAAATGCTCATGAAATTATACGCACTAAACTCTAAAAGAGGCTCTGATCACTGAGCCGGTCTTGAAAATTGTTTGTAAACGAATTGTCCTATTCAAAGCTTCTCAGTTAACAGTCGAATGTGAAATGCTTTCCACTCCAGAACTTGATTAGTTCAAAATGTAAATCTTCAAATTATTACCGGTTTTCAGACTGAATTAGAAAGACTCTTTATTCGCGATTTAACTACTGAAAAAAATAGCGTAAAAGGAAGCTTAGAATTAACTCGGAAACAATCTCCTCAAGGCAGTTAAGCAATTTCACAGCGTAATGGTAAACCTCTCGTGAGATTTGCTTTAAAATATGCGTCATATCCTTTACAAATTAGGCTCGTGCGTTCAAGGATTTCTGCATAAAACGTGAGATTGAAATCTCTTAGAAAACCGACATTATGTCTGTGATCATGATTATATACATCAGTACAGAATATGCCAGTATGATTAAAATTTGATATCTCCGAATCTCATGCATGGTCAGTGAGTAAAACCATGGAAGGTAACTTTTAATAAAACACCGTACCAGAATAACTACGGAAAAAGACTAATTTTTAGAATTTCTATGGAAGTAAAAAACAAAGGCAGGTCGTAGATGAAATCCTGCCACAAATTCGTTACAACAATAAACATTCAGGTTTCTCCCGAATCCAAATATCGTGTATGCAAAATGTTCCATTTGACAAGAACTTAATTGCTTGTGCAAACGGAAATGAGGGCAGGCAAGTATTATCATCAGCGCACATCTAGCTGATTATCGGCACTGAATCCTGAAGCACAGGACTTAAAGAATATTTCAGAGTTGTCTTTCATTTTCGTGTATACTGTTCCTCACAACGTAGGTATTGCATTGAGTTAGCAAGATCCTGGGCAGTATACAAAAAGGTTGACTCCGTCAGCCTTTGAATGAAATGAAATTATAACATTTCTGCCGCCAGCGTTTGTTGTAGAGCTTTTTAAGCTCCCATTGGGCTTGACATGTTTATCCGCGCTTTTGAAGTGAAAGTCATACTTGACCAAAATTGTAAATTTGAGTTTGATCTCCAAAGCCAACAGGATAGCGACCTGATTGTGAACTAAATAACAAATTGAATCATATTTTCGCCTTTCATTTATTCTAGATTAAAGAATTTTCCAATAACCTAAAGCATAATTTACTCGTAAATCAATGTTTAATTAAATGCAGTCACGTCTTCGGCTAATATCCTTTGAAAAGAATGTGCACAAATTTGTCTCTTTTGATTTGGTAAAATAGATTAGCTGAAAGAAAAATAAGCTTTTCCAGTGGCCATACTAACTTCATGATGTTAAAAAAATGTAGATCAACTACATTTCTATCTCGATATTTTATGTAAGAGAGAGAAGCTTCCAGAATAAGCTACAAGATAGATCATGTTGATTCATTTCATCGGTAAATTACTCTTTTTGCGACCTTTCATCCTTAACTATATCATAAGAAATTTTTCCTTGTGTAAGCCAAATATATTCTGAGTTATTTTGTATTCAATAAATTCATGTATTCTCAAACAGTTTTAACAATCTTTTTTGAAGGCACTATATATACTTCAAATACTAATTGCACTTAAAATATGATGCGACATCCTCATGTAGAGCTTTATTGATCAATAGTGGATTTCAAAAATATAATAACATTCATAAGTGTTGTGGTTAAGATTCTTTATAACCCTTTTAGCATGGGTTGCCTGCAATATTTTAGGGTGCTTAAATGTTAGTTCATTGTAAATCAATAGAAAAATGTTTAAAAACGATTGACACTTTTTTTTATTAGTTTAAGGACCCCTCGTCAAAGCAGTAATATACAGCGGGCAAGAGGATATTTATCGAGAGAACTTAATTATGAGATTGGGTGTTCAAAGTGTACTTTGGTGCTGCTGAAGCCGTAATCACGCTTTACCCCGATTTCATACTTCAGTTCAAGTTTCCTCAGCATTTTTGTGGCCAACAACGGTGTAACCCGAGGAAAAGGCTTCAAGTTACTTCGCTAGATTGAATATTTATCCTCTATATTCAGTCTTCACTGATTTCATAATAGATGAAATTATTTTAGTTTTAATAATTGATCTGGCCATATCTTTTGATCGTGCGTTAAGGGTATAATGCAGTTGGAAATCAGTTTCTTCAGGCCAACTCGACATTTCTCCAACTGATCTTATCCCTCTTTTGTCAATAATCTGTAAGGAATTTTTTGTTTTACACGTATTTCATTTATAAATGTGGTGATAGGAAAAATTCTATCTGATTTTAGTTAGAAAGTTTCATAATCATTTTCATCTTGTGGGCAACATTAATTTTTCATGTAAGGAAATGGCTCGAACTGTCTCGTCATCAAAGTCTGATGATCTTGAATAAAAGAAAAGCAACATAAATGAAGATCAGAGAAAGTTATCAAATGTTTAGTATACTGGAGGCCATATTTAAGGCCTAATACCATTTAATTTTTCTTAATACATTTACTTTTTTGTTGCCGTTATTGATTTTTTTTTATCAAAAAATATTTCAAAAATGTTCCAAGCGTGGGCTCTTCATTGATCACTGGAATTTTTTCAAAGCTTTCTTTTTTGTAGACAGAGCACTTTTCGCTAATTCCATATTGTGGGGGTGTTCTACTTTTTTGTTGCCGTTATTGATTTTTTTTTAATCACAAAATCTTTCAAAAATGTTCCAAGCGTAGGCTCTTCATCGATGACTGGAATTTTCAAAGCTTTCTTTTTTGTAGGCAGATCTCTGTTCGTTAACTCCATATCGTGGGAGTGTTCTATTTTATGAAGTATCTTACATTATTGAAAGATTGTCAAAATATTATAAAATTGTTTTATGCAATTAAAAGGTCATGTCGCTGCATTACTGCCGCAGCATGGCGGAACTCTTCCGAGTTGGTATAAATTTCTTTTATTTTTCTTATCGTTTACAGTTTGCCTATCAATCCTTTTGATGCCAAGATAACAGAGTGGTGCAACTTTTAAAGTCAGGTTAGAAGATAACAGATGATAGCTCAATTAACAAGCAGTGTATTAATACTACTCACGAAACTGGGAAAGAAACTGTAAACGGCGTTGTACAAGAAGAAGACAACCTGAGATTGAAAGATTAGCACGAGTTTTGAAATGAAAGTGAGTAAAATGAACTAAAGCATAAATTGGATCAGTAAGTTGTTTTTCTTTGGAGGGAGAAAAAACGGGAACAAAATGGAAAAAATTCCCAGTAATTACGCGAATCAACAAAAATCTAAACCGATACGTGACGCTAGGTTTGCCCATTTCTACTCCCTGGAATTCATCAGATGCTGACTTAGTACCTCTCTCTTTTTCCTGGTATAATCACCTCTAACTCTGATCAGCTCGAGGCAGTTTTCCACTCTTGTATTGCAAGCGAGGCTCTTTTATAGGTATGCAATTTTCCGGCCTCTCTTGCGCTTAAGTTACTAGCGTTTGCGTCGAGCCCGGACAATAAAACGGGTTTGATGATCATCATTCTTGTCTCTTTTTCCATCTATTTTTTCCATATTTGAGATAAATTATATTGGCCCCAGGGGTAAACAAT